TGACGGTAAATAATGACAACATGAAACTGATCCAACAGCAACCTGACAATAATTAATGAAATATGGTCGATAGAATGCAGAATTCTGTAAGAAGGACGTGATAAAAGTGTGTAAAATCCTAGTCAAAAATAATCCGTCAATTAGACATTGATTAAAAGTCCAACATATTTTATTCGTATTTCTGGCTTCTGGATGATAATTAATAACGTCTTTGTTCAAGAGGCTATATAATATATATATCTCACTCTCTCTCAGAAATTTGTAATACATTTTTAAAAATGACAATCGTGCCAGATGTGGCATTCGAGCTATTATATAATCTTACGTTAATAATATTTATTGAACATTGCGCGAGCTGTTTTAAAGATGATCAGATACAAACTGAGGCACGTAGGTATATATCGTTTAAATTCTCTGTAAATCCTCAGTCGATTAAACACTTTAATAATCACAAACAAAAAAAATTTTTATTTTTAATTTTTTTTAATATTTAATTTCTATATATTTAAAAAAATTTTTTAATTTTAATTTTTTTTATTTTAATTTTTTTAATTATGCAAATTTTTAATATTATTTTTGTAGTATGTAGAAAATTAAAAAATTATTTTTTATAATCTTGTTGGTTAATTAAAAAATAAAATTAAAATATTTTAAAGTTTTTATTCTTATTTAACATAATTTTTTTATATTATTAATTTTTGTAAGATAGGTTTTTACAGGGACATTACACGAACTTAGCACCTTTTTTTACCTTTTTTTAAAAGGTAATTTTTTTAGGGTATATTTACGTGTTTATGTCTGTATCTGATCATTATTAATACACATCGCGCAATATTCAATAAACGTAAAATTATTATAATAGCTTGAATGCTGCTTCTAGCGCGATTGCCATTTTTGAAAAATATATTACAAATTTTTGAGAAAGAGTTTACTAGACATACATAAGTTATTCTTGTGCTATGTGGCTATAAGTATATTAATTTCCGCGAAGCTGTCTTCTTTATTGATTAATTTCATTAAAGCGTATTTTTCATTTTTTTTCAATTCAGAGTCTTAAATAATCTCGAACAATAAGTACCATTAAAAGTCTGACGTATTTTTCTCGATATTTCCGGCTTCTGGTGATACTTATATTATATAGCCTCTTGAACACGGACTTTATGATCATCAAAAGCGTTATTAATTATCATTCAGAAATGAAGAAGACAGTTCCGTGGACATTAATATGTTTATACCCTGATAGCACAAGGGTGTCTAATTTATGTCTAGTGAATATTTGTTACTGAACATTGGGATACTCTTAAACAATCCAAATAAGGTCTATCGGGACATTCAATGAATGTTTATAAGATGTACATTAGTCACAACTTGGTACGTTCACAGAATGTCCGAAATATATCCAACTTTGAATCAATTATGGATTGATTTTAGATCTATTATGAACTGATTTAGGGTATCTTTTCAATTGTAAATTTTAATTATAAAGTTGTTATTTTTATTTTATAAAAATACAATCATATATGTGTTAAAAAATATTTAACACAAAACAATATATATTTTTTATATTACTTTTGTACGATAAACTTTAGTACAGGAAGGACAGTCTTTTAATAGAATACTATTAATTGTGTAATACTTAATATTATATATTAATTGCTGAAAAACTTTTCTTCAGTATCAATAACTTACTTAATATAAAAATACATTTTAATGTTTGATAAAAGTTATTGTTATTGCTAATACTGAACTCTTTTAGCAGAAATTTGAAATTAATATATGACGACTTATCATGTTTATACACACAATACAAAAATATATCTGATATATCATGTACGGATTTGCGCGTGACTTAAATATTAAAAAATAGATAATTGTATTAGTAAAATCCGTAATATTTTAACATATTTTTAACGCAAACAATCTATGTGTACAGAACAAAAATATACAAATTCTGTATAATGAATAAAGAAATAAACAATGTAAATAGGGGAAAAATACATATATATAACGAGCAATCCTGCATTTTCCTATACACCTATACTTAACGGTGGCAACTATTAGCTAGATTTTGTAAAGTGCATATGCGCGTATTATCTATAGTTAACGTAAGGCGTATTATAGATAAATGCGTGTATATGCACTTTACGGAATCCAGCCATTATATTTTGTCCACTAATAAAATGCTTAAATAGTAAAAATTAAAAAACTTAAATAGTAAATAATAAATAATTGTATTAACAAAATCCGCAATATTTTAACTTTGCAAAAACTTGGCGAAAAATGTATTTAAAACTTTATGAAAAAAATTGCATTTTGACGCATTTGAAATAATATATTTTCTTCTTTTTCAAATTCTAGTATATATATCTTCCATCCAAATTTTCTCGTACACGACCGCCCCGTGGATATCTCTTTTCTTTGTCCTCCTTCTCTCTATCCCCAAGCATTTGGTCATAGTCTATGCCTGTCCACGTCGCAGTAAGCCTCGTGCGTTAGTGCATAGAATATCAATCGATTCATTAACAAAAACTCAAACTGCAAGTTGTTTTTATATCGTACGTGTTGTTATACATATTTTTATTGCTTAAATAATGATTTTGATACAGAATTTACCTTCTGAAGTTATTTTAATAATTCTGGAAAACGTAACTATTAGCTTGAAGGATGTTGAAAATTTTGGTTCCACGTGCGTGCAATTTCAACGTATATCCCATGATAAAAATCTCTGGAGAAAAAAGTATGCTGAGAGGTAAGTTCTCTTTATGTATGAACTTTTTTGTTATATTATTTATTAGATACATCGCAAAAAAGATACATTGCAAAAATTGGGCGAAAAATATATTTAAAACTTTACGAAAAAGAAGTATATTTTGAAGCAATTAAAATAATTTTCTGATATCTAATAAAGAATTTCGAAATAATTGTAAATTAAGATATCTTAAAATTAATTTATACCTAGCTTTTCAAATTTGAAAATATTTCTAGATATTGTATCGTTTTAAATATGTTTGGATCAAAATTTCTGAATAAAATTGTGCAAATTTAAAAAAAAAATAGTTGAAATATATTATAAGGTAGGAAATTTGTTCATATTTAAAAGATTTATGAAAACTTTTAAGTTCTATAATAAACAATTTTTAAGAACTAATTATTTGTTATATAAGAATCATTTTGAGAATATGTTTTTGTTATATTAATAATAATTTTTTGTTACATTATTGATAATTACTCGTGCAGTTGTAACAATGTAACTGTAACTAAAAAACTGAGAAAGTAATTATTTTATACAAAAAGTATATATTTTAATTAAAAAAGATTATTAATCAAAGGCATAAAACATTCTATATTATTACCATTTAAAAAAATTAATAAATATACATCATACTTATAAACAAAAAAAGTATGTGGCTAATATATTATTCAGTCCATAGAAATTTTATATAACATTTTGATATGATGATTGATGATTCAAGCTGTATTTTCTCGTATTGTTTAATATTATAACAATCTAAACATTATTAAATATTTTATATTATCACTACATTATGCAAATGTTATATAATTAAAACCACAATCACCAAAACCACGTGAAATACTAATAACTGAACATTTGTAATGTATAACGTGTATAATATAAATATATAGGTAATATATTTATATACATACATATGTGTGTAATATAAATTATATATTTCATCGCGCTATGGCGTAATAATAAAATAAAATACACATTTCCTTACTATACATTACGCTTCATTACAACATCGCGATCAAACATAAAATATCAGTTAGTATTATATAAAACAAATGTGTTCAATTTTTTAGTATAATTTTCGAAAAATATTTAAAGTATTTTGTGTATTAAATTTTAGATGGCCTTCTGCGAAGGTACATTTCAAAAACAAAGTAGGCGTCAAATTTGATAACGCCAATATTGAAGATTTAAAAGAGGGTATGAAATGTGCAGAAGACTTGTGGCTATACGTGTCTCGTCTGCCTAAGATGTATTACTGTGGAATAATTTATTCGAATATTAACTTTGAGGATATGGAGGATACCAAATGTATGCTAGATATTAAACGATATATCTCTCTACATAAAAAAAAGAACCCTTTGAATGTATACATTTTATATGATGAACTTATTAGAAGCATATATCAGCAAAATCCACAGTATGAATAAATATATTTTAAAATATTATTAAAATTTTTAGTATGTTAATTGATTATTGTATATTAATTTTACAATATATACATTTTTCAGCCAATCCAATTTAACAAAAAGACACTACAGTATAAAAATATTTCGACATTTGAATACATATATTTTTCATAAAAAATGGGTTAAATTTGAAGAAATATGGGTTAAATATAAAGAAAGATCCGTAACAGCACAGTGTTTGAAAAATATGTTTGTCTCAATATTACAATGGTGTCATCCCGATAAATATATTACTGACTTGCTTTTCGATAAATTTATAGACAATATTGTCAAAGAAGTATTACAGTCTTTGAAAAATAAAAATTCTCTGCATCCAATATTGTCGATATCGTCTAAACATTTCTCGATTTGGAGAAATAATCATATTGATAAAAATTTTTGGAGCGAAACGCACGCAAAGTCGATTAAGTGTGAACTCGACAAAATTATCATAAGTTTTGATTCTTATGAATCATGGATGGAACCAAATCAGATAAGTACGAAACTGCTGGTACGTCAATTTTTTTACATATGATGTCTTTTATTAACTATGATGAATTAGAACTTTTTAAACTATCATAAATTTAATAATAATTTTCTATTATAATTATTTTTATTATATGATTACACTTATTGTTCTTTGACAGACTAAAAGACATATACTATATTATAAACATATGTTGTGGGTGAATATATATATCTACGTTGCAAATAGATTGGGTTTACATGTTGTAACAACACCATCACACAAGGATGTAGCAATAGACAACGGTTTTAATCCAAAAGATATACATTTGGTTTGGCAATCCAGGTAAATATATAATTCTATCTCTGAAATTCTTTTTTTATTTATATTGTCTCGTATTTGTATTATACGCATTAATAATTACACGCTAATATTCCTGTGAGAAATGATGATAAAATCAACGTCGATTCGTTGTCGAATTGATGTCAAATTCGTCGAATCGATGTCGAATCGATGATTATTCGACCAATCATTTCTCACTGGAACTCACATGTATTAATATATATTTATTATTATATATATTAATTAGTTATTATATATTATACAGTCCGTTTCTAAAAAAAGCATATGAGGTACTCGCATATCTCGAAGTTTATTGTTGTTTTTTCGCAATACTGAATGGTTCTCGATATGGGTGATATTCATAGCATTAAATGACTATTATCGCGAGGGGTATTGTTTTACAATAAAACAATGTTAAAAATAAAATAAAATAAAATAAAATAAAACCACGAATCCAAATCAGACATTGTCGCGCTCATAGCGCGCGCTTGTGTTGTCTAGTTTAAGAAAAAATTCACTGATGCCGATTTGTGTTATATTGCGACAAATTAGACAGTTGAGAGAAACCATAGACAAATATACAGAGTGAGTCATTTTAATCAATACACGTAATTTTTAAAAAATATTATTATATTGTGGTTATGTTTGTGACACAATTAAAGATATGCTTGTCCATGGATCCTCTAAAATATTTCATTTATTGCATTTAAATATAAGTCGATGTTTCAAAAATATTATTCTAAAAAATTTTCGTTTTTGCATAAGCTTAAAATTTATAAATTTCTCTAAAAGTTAGAATTATTTTTGTTATATATCTTAAATTATACAATTAAACTATTCCAAAAATTGATGATTGAATCATGTTATATAGCTTGTTTCTCTAAAACAACAATTTTATATTATATATGTGAGCTTATATTTTGTAAATTATTAAATTGAATTTTTATTTCAATACAAACCTTTATGTGCAAAATGATTTGAAATTGAAAAGTCGATAAGATAATTTTATAATCTCATTTATAAAATTTTAGAACAATTTTTTCTTTTACAAAACTGCATCAGTAATTAATTATCTTAATTCATGTTTAAAGCTAAAATTTTATTTTATATGCAGCGTGTTCCAATAATCTTGCTACAGTCAATCATCTCGAAAATAAAGCATTTTGTACAAAAATTGAGACAAAAGTTATAGGATTTAATAAGGTCTATTTATTAACTTTATTTTTCTCTTATTTTTAATAAAAAATTTAAATTTTTTATAAATTTTAAAAAATTTAATAAATTTAATTTATACCATTAGAAAGAATATTATTTCGTACTTTCAACAAATAATATGAACAAGATTTTACTTAAAGATTAAAAAAAATAAACTTTTGGAAGGAAACCATAGATAAAAAAAATTGTTTTAAAAAAGAATGATCTGATTTTAAAAGGTATTAAAGAGAATATTAGATTAATCGATTTCTAAAGTAGAAGGATAGTTTGGATTAACGTGTATTGACTAAAAAAAGATATACATATAATCTAATTTAATATATTACATTAAACAAATAAAGTATAGAGTAAATTTTCTCTTTGTTAAAAAAAAAATTAGTTTCTAATAGATTAAAAAATTTATAATTGAATAAATATTAGCTTTTAACATCTTCATTACACTCTGATGTACATATATACATGAATTGTTCTTTATTTTTTATACAGAAATTGTACAGAAAGTACAGAATGTTTCATATTTGAATGGACAGATGACCAAGATAATTTAAAAATTTCTGACATAAAAAAATGCCGACAAGTGCCCTTTTGTCCAAACACAGTAAGTAATTATTTGTAAGTAATTATTTATATAAAATATCGATAGAGGTTTAAATTTTTAAAATAAATAAGATTGGAACTGACAATCTTTTATGCTCTATTAAAAATTAAAATCATTATATGATTTGATTATGAGAGCAGTAACGTGTGTGGGGCAACGCAAAAAAAAATTGTTTTATATACTTATCAACTCATTTAATTATTTATAATTAATCACAAAAAATTACAAAATAACAACAAACCTTTTTTTGGGCCTTCTTCAGCGCAATATTACAGATATTTAATCAGTGTAGAATTAAAATAAACGGTCGGACAAAAAGTCAAACATTGACATCACGCAACGATTAAAATCGACAAAAATTGTGTTCTTGAAAAAATGACAGTAGGAGACACCGTTTCACGTTCGCTGTTATTTTATAATTTTTTCTGATTATTTCTAAATAATTAAATGAGTTGTTAAAAATATACACAAGTTTTTCTTTACGTCGTATCATACTTGTTATTGCTCTCATAGCCAAATAATACAATAATTTTAATTATTTTAGGCTTTTACTATCTGATGTTTATAACTTCAAAACTGTACGAACATTTAATGCAGGAACGTTTGATAGAAAAGACACAATCAGCGACGTTTTTTCTTTAAAATATTTTAAGAACATTAAAATCGATGAACTTGATTAGAATAAATTAACAAAAGCATATATAATATACAACATTAGTTTTAGATTATACAATTCCAAAATCCATCTAAATTTATTTTTTTTTTTACACACATATATTGAATTTAATCATTACATATGATATCATAAGTGATTTTGATTCAAAATTTAATAACATTTTTTTAAAGTTCAATTCGCCAAGGAACGAAGACGAGAGGGACCTCAATTTTTTACTTCACTCTCTTTTAAATAATAGGATAAACAATGTATTATTACCGTTTGAGGTAAGGCAATTGAATTTACTTATTGTACATATTATAAATTAAAGACATGTATTGACATACATAATAATTTTATGTGTAAAAATTTTACTAATTATAATTATTCTTAGTTCAAATTATTATATTAATATAAATTACATAATATATATAAAAGCATCAACTGTGCTAATTTTTCAGCCAATATTTACTTCAAATGAAGCGTTTGTCCATGAAAGATCGCCTGATCTAATATTTGCGATTGGTATGATAGTTACACATACGCATAAAATGAAAGATAATACACGAAAAGATATTACTGGTGTCATTATTGGGTGGCACAACAAATGCCGCAAATGGATTCGATATAAAAACAAACGTTGTACTCCGAATAAAATTAAAAAAGAGTGTATCCAGAAATATAACATTAAAGATTGGAAATCGCAACCATACTACGTTATGTTAGTTGAAAATGACCTGTGTTATGTTCCGCAATGTACGAGAATTATATGCTTCAATATACTTTATATTTCTATATTCTATGATATTTTTATTTATATTATTTATGATATATTGTATAATAAATTTGATAATTTTTTTATCTCTACGTTTTTATTTTAGGTGCTATAACATCGACATGCGAAAAATGGATAGACAATACAGAAATTGGAAGATATTTCTGTAAATTTGAAGGCACTCATTATGTGCCAAACGAAGTACTAGAACAATATTATCCAGACGATGCCGCAGTCGTTCGCGAAATATTGAGTAGTCGTAAATAATATAATATTTTGGATGGTGCAGAAGTGTGTATGTGTGTGTTTGGTGTCTGCTATTTTAACGACGGCCTAGGTTAAAATCCAGATTAAAATTTAAAAATATTGGTCTATTTGATACCCATCTCTCAGAAGGCAATGATTGTAAAGTCATCTAGAGCATTCTGCAAAGAAAGCAGTATTTTTATAAAATTCCGCAATATATATATGTATATTTAGCTAATATTCTGAAGCTTATATTTTGACAAGGAGATAGATAATGTGTTAAAATATTTGAGATGTCCAAAAAATTACGATTAATAACATTAAAATTATTTAGAAATATTTATACACACACTTATGTATTTAATCACAACAAATAAAACATTTTTTTGGAGTTTCGAAAATAATTACTGCCTCTATTTCATGATATCGATTATATGATTTGCTGTGTGCTACTGTCGTATTTAATATATTGTATATTTTTATTTTTTGATAAACAGAAAAAATATGATTATCAGTATACAATTATTATGGCTATAAACATTATCAAAAACAAATAAATATAATTTCTACAAATTTTACAGATAATTAGAGTTTGTTGCAGAAATAGAAACAATTTAAAAATAATATTAAGAAAAAAAAATTAATAAAGTTGTAATAGAAATAACTTAGCTGGAGGCAAAAATTTCTATTATTTTAGGACGTACATAGATCATTTAGAGTTTCGTATAATGCAAACAATAGAACGAGATCTGAAGAGAGCACAAAAAAAAGAATTCTTTCTACCACTAAGGAAGCAGGTAGACCAAAATCCTTGGGCCGAGTCCAAGAAAGGTCGTTGTGAAAACTCGAGTGAAAAAAAAGACATATTATATATTATATTATACCTTATATTTTTTTGTCCTTCTCTCCCCTTCCTGAAAGAATTAGTCATTCCCAGTCTATAGCTGTGCACGACAGACAATAAAGCTTGATCTACAATGTGCTTTTTGCGATCTTGCTTTCTAGCTTCTTGGTGTTTTATTTTACCGACTAGAGTTCTTCCACCTTTATCTCAGGCAACAGGTAAAGAAGAATTGTCGTGCAGTGGGCAAAGAACACGAAATAAAACACAAAGAGCACATTGTAGATTGGTCTTAAGTCTCGTGCTCTCTACAAAGCAGAGTTAGTACATAGAATATCAATCGATTTTTAATAATTCTGAAAAATGAAAATATTAGCTTGAGAGATGTTGAGAACAGTGGGAAAAATAATTATTTTTCACACTAAGGAAGCAGGTAGACCAAAATTCCTGAGCCAAGTCCAAGAAAGATCGTTGTGGAAACTCAAGTAAAAGAAATATATACCTATTATATCTTTTTTCTTTGTCTCCTCCCTTTTCCCTTCCGAAAAGCATTTGGAGAATTCCAGTCTATGCCTGGCTATCCACGATGCACTAAGCCTGGTGCGTTAGTACATAGAATATCAATCGGTTTATTAAGAAAAATTCAAACTGCAAGTTGTTTTTAAATCATACACGTGTTTGTGTTAAAAATTTATGTCCCGTAAACAATGATTAACATAACGGACTTATCTATAGAGATTATTCTAATAATTCTAAAAAGCGAAATTATTAGCTTGACGGACCTTGAGAACTTTAGTTCCACGTGCACAAAATTTCAGTGGATATCAAATGACGAAAATCTCTGGAAGAAAAAGTATGCTCAGAGGTAAGTACTTTTTATGTATGAACTGTTTTGTTATTTTACTTGATGAACACGTCGCATAAAAAGGAACTTCGCAAAAACTTGACGAAAAATGTATTTAAAACTTTGCGAAAAAGAAATACATTTTAATTTTGATATCTAATGTAGAATTTCGAAATAATTGTAAATCGAGGAATTTTAATATTAATTTATACCTAGCCTTGCAAATTCGAAAATATTTGTAGATATTGTATTGTTTTAAATATGTCTGAATCAGAATTTCTGAATAAAATTGTTGCAAACTTTAAATAAATTATAGTTGGAATACATTATGAGGTAAAAACTTTGTTCACGTTTAAAAGATTTATAAAAGCTTTTAAGTTCTATAATAAACAATTTTTTAAGAACTAATTATTTGTTATATAAAAATTATTTTGAGAATAAATTTTTGTGATATTAAGAATAACTTTTGTTACTTTATTGATAATTACTTATGCAGTTCTAATCGTTGTAATAATATAACTGTTAATAAGGTGTTTTTTCGTCCAACAATAATTCAAAAACAATCTAAAATACTAAAAAGTAATTATTTTATACAAAAAAATGTACATTTTAATTAAAGAAAGAAATATTAATCACACACATAAAATATTCTATATTATTAACATTTAAAAAAATAGATAGTAAATATATATATCATACATATAAACAAAGAAAGTATGTAGCTAATCAATTATTCAATCCATAGATATTTTATATGACATTTTGATATGATGATTGATGATTCAAGCTGGATTTTCTCGTCATATTGTTTAATATTAAAAAAATTGCGCGCGATGTATTCGTTGTTTTCTGCACGTGCCACATACATTATTTTTTAAAATGCTTGTCGCGAAAGTTCAATTTTTGATTGCTGTTTAGCGTGAAAATGCGGAAAATGGCTTATTTCTCAACGAATCAATGTATGCCTTACTTTACTAGTGCGAGAAAAGCATATCTTTATGTTTTACTTTACCGCACTACCCTTGTAGAAATTTATCACTAGTAACGCCAATTAATCACTTATTTCGAGTACCTAAAATTTTGATATATATATACTAATTTGAATACTCGTAATAACCCAGTAAACACAAAGTAACAGTTACATAACATCAATGTTATAATTTCCCACTCAATAATATAACTGTTACGTACAAGCTATGTTATATTGCGGTTATATTATTAAGTGGAAAATTATAACATTGATGTTATGTAATTGTTACTTTGTGTTCACTGGGAAGTGATTAACTACTTGAAATAAGTGATAAATAGGCGTTAATAGTGATAAATTTTTATAATGGTAGTGCGATAATATGGGTTACTATATAGTTACTTTATTACACTAGTGCATAAAAAAATCTTCTTTTTTCATAATTAATTGGTTGATAGTTTCTGTTTTATCATTTCTCGACTGATTTAACAAACTTGAACGTAACGAAATTTACGCAAAACAAAACGTCAATTCGTTATAATCTTCGTTATTCAAAAAGAATCAATAGAATAAAAGAAACGAGTGTTCAAGACCTTCCACGCCGTTAGAACTTATAGTAGAAGCAGCTGCATCTGCCACGAAGACTTTATTACCGAAATAATCGAGAAATAAGTACATGAGTAAAAACATTATACGCGTTTTATATCAATAATTATTCAAATCTCACATTTCATTTTGGCGATACATACTATTTCTTAATTGAACTTAATTTTAATTAATTCCTTAATCTCAAATCAAACTTTCGCGATGGGCATTACAAGAATTATATTTTTTCACCGCCCTATAGTGTAATAATAAAATAAAATGCACATTTTCTTACTATAAAGATAACGCTTTATTACAACATCACCATCAAACATAAAATATCAGTTGGCCGTAATAAAAAATATTATATAAAACAAAGTGTGTTCAATTTTTTAGTATAATTTTCGGAAAATAGTTAAAGTATTTTGTGTTTTAAATTTTAGATGGCCTTCTGCAAAAATACATTACAAAGACAACATGGGCGTCAAATTTGATGACGCCAATATTGAAGATTTAAAAGAAGGTATGAAATGTGTGGAAGACTTGTCGCGTTACGTTCGTATGTCTACGATGTATTACCATGATAAAAAATGTCAGAAAAATAACTATATAAAAACAAAACATATGGTAGATATTAAAGAATATATCTCTGTGCATAAAGAAAAGAACTTTTTGAATTTACACATTTTATTTGATGAACTTGTTAGAAACATATATCTGCAAGATCCACGGTAAGAATAAATGTATTTTAATTATTATTAAATATTATTAAACATTATTAGAATTTAATTAAATATTTTAAATATTATTAAAATTTTTAGTATATATAATTGATTATTGTGTATTACTTTTCTAATAAATATGTACATTTTCCAGCCAATCAAATTTAACAGAAAGATATTACACCATAAAAATATTTCAATATTTGAATCAATATATTTTTATTCAAAATGGGTTAAATATAAAGATAGATCCGTAACAGAACAGTGCTTGGAAGATATAGTTGTCTCAATATTACAATGGTGTCATCCCGATAAATATATTACTGACTTGCTTTTTGATAAATTCATAGACAATATTGTCAAAGAAGTATTACAGTCTTTGAAAAATAAAAATTCCCTGCATCCAATATTGTCGATATCGCCTGAACATTTCTCGACTTGGCGAAATCATTATATTAATGAAAATTATTGGAGCGAAACGCAAGCAAAATCGATTAAGTATGAACTCGATAAAATTATTGTAAATTTTGATTCTTATCAATCATGGATGGAACCGAATGAGATAAGTCTGGAATCGTTTAATCAGCTGGTATGTTAATATTTGTATATATGATGATTTTTATTATTTGTCACAAATTATAATATTTTAAAATATCATAAATGTAATAATAATTATAAATACAAATAAATATAAATAATATATAAATATAAATATAAATATAAAAAATATAAATAAATATAATAGAGGAGTAAAGAGAACAGAGATATTCAAATCTCAAATTCAAGATTGTTCCTCACTTTGTCTTAGCAAATTGCTAAGCATTAGGCTCTCGCAGCGAATATTCTTTTTATCTTGTTTTTATTATAAATCCCGTATATTAATATCATTTGATCATAATTCATTATTATAATTATTTTTATAATATGATTACATTTATTGTGTTTCGACAGACTAAACTAAATGTACAACGTTATAAAAGTATATTGTGGGTGAATATATATATATGCGTTGCAAATAGATTGGGTTTACATGTTGTAACATCAACACACGATAAATACAATCTTTTTCCAGAACGAGCACATTTAGTTTGGCAATCCAGGTAAATATATAATTTTATCTTTGAAATTGTTTTTATTTATACTGTCTCGTATTTGTATTATACACACAAATAGTTACACGCCAATACTCACATGTATTAATACATATTTATTATTATATATATTAATTAATTATTATGTATTATACAGCCCATTTTTAGAAAAGGCATATAAAGTCGATAGTCGCATATCTCGAAATTTATTGTTGTCGCTTTTCGCAATGCTGATTGGTTCTCGATACGCGTGATATTTATAGCATTGAACGGCTATTATCGCAAGGATTATTAACAATTTGACAATAAAACA